GATGCTGAACAGATTTCAGTGGAGCTTCCAGACTAAGAGAGACTAGGAAGAAAGGCCTGCTGATAGATTTCCAAAAATCAGCCATTGTGAGCTACCATTGGGTTGGCCCCCCGCTCGTGGCGACCCCATGCACAACAGACGAAAACGCGGCCTGGTCCTGCCCCACCCCGTTTTGTTGCCGTTCCCTGTAACGGCTGAAAGGAAAGCTATCCTGCAGCTGCGGGGAGAGAAGCGGGATCTGGAGCGGCTCAGGGCAAGGGCCAGGCCGGTTAAATTGGATGACTGATAGGGGGCCAGGGTCTTCTGGTTCCACCCAGCCAGAGGCCCAAGGCCATATGCATATGAATGTGAAGATAGTCAAGGGGTGGAGAAGAAAGGATGAAACTGGAACATTTAAAAAGCGTTTGTGTTTATTTCAACGTACTGTGGATATTGCGGAGCCACGGCGGTGCAGTGGTTAACCATTCGGCTGCTAACCAAAAGGTCGGCAGTTTGAATCCACCAGCTGCCCCTCGGAAACCCTATGGGGCAGTTCTACTCTGTCCTATAGGGTCACTGTGAGTTAGAATCGACGGCAATGGGTTTTATGGATAGTGAATGTTTCTCCTACCGAGCATTGTAAAACAAACCTAAATGTATGACAGAAATGAATATTGGGTATTATCGATTACAGAGAGCATGTAACTCCACCTTCAGCCAATACTTGATTGGATATGCTAAAAAGGGAACTAGGCAGGATTTGGCTGAAGAAACACAGGCTGTTTGAATGCCGTAGCCCTGTGTATGGAGTGGGGGGTCTTAGGTCACATGAACCCCACATGGACCCTTTGGGGCCCACCTGAACCCTTTGGGGGTCAGGAAATTTGCTTCTGAAAAGACATGCAGAACCATCTAAAAGTGCTGCGAGAACAGAAGATTTGCATCTGAAGGAAGGACCTGCAGAAAAAAAAGTGACTATTTTGCTTTTTGAATTTCCAGCAAGGGGCTAGGGATGAGAGAGAGAGAACAGGCTGTCTGAAGTGTGGGGAAGTGTGTGTGAACTCTTGTGCTTGAGGTTGCTACCCTTCGTGACCTAGCTTGGATGGCTAGGGATGAGCTGACCAGAACCTGACCGAATGAAGAGAAAGATGTTTGACGCCGTGAGCTGGAGTAGATTGCTGCTGTTTGATGGCTTGCTCTGGACTGGACTTTGCTTGTGGCTGCAGATGCTCAGAGTCCCACCAGAACAGGAGATTCTTCACGATGCAGGCTGTCTCCTCAGAGTACTGGTTTGATAGGGATGGGCAGTTTAGAACTTGGCTATCTAAAATGGGCGGACCACTTCAGCTCACTAATGCCTAGGATATCGATGTTTATGTGTTCCATTTCATAGCTGACGATTTCCAATTTTCCTAAATTCATACTTCGTATATTCCACGTTCCAATTATTAATGGATGTTTGCAGTTGTTTCTTCTCATTTTGAGTCATACCACATCAGTAAATGAAGGTCCTGAAAGCTTGACTCCATCCACATCATTAAGGTCGACTCTACTTGGAGGCAGCTCTTCTCTAGTCATATTTTGAGTGCCTTCCCACCTGAGGGGTTCATCTTCCAGCACTATATCAGACAATATTTCACTGCTATTCGTAAGGTTTTCACTGGCTAATTCTTTTCAGAAGTAGACTGCCGGGACCTTCTTCCTAGTCTGGCTTAGTCTGGAAGCTTAGCTGAAACCTGTCCGCCATGGGTGACCTTGCTAGCATTTGAATACCAGTGGCATAGCTTCCAGCATCACAGCAACATGCAAGCCCCCACAGCATGACAAACTGACAGACACCTACTCCCAAGAAAGGTGATCCAACCGAATGCAGAAATAATCAAACAATACCATTAATATCACACACAAGTAAAATTTTGCTGAAGAGCATTCAAAAACGGCTACAGCAGTATATTGACAGGGAAATGCTGGAAATTCAGGCCGGATTCAGAAGAGGACATGGAACCAGGGATATCACTGCTGATGTCAGATGGATCCTGGCTGAAAGCAGAGAATACCAGAAGGATGTTTACCTGTGTTTTATTGACTATGCAAAGGCATTAGACTGTGTGGATCATAACAAATTACAGATAACATTGTGAAGAATGGGAATTCCAGAACACTTAATTGTGCTCATGAGGAACCTGTATATAGATCAAGAGGCAGTCGTTCAAACAAAACAAGGGGATAGCACATGGTTTAAAGTCAGGAAAGGTGTGCGTCAGGGTTGTATCCTTTCACCATACCTATGCAATCTGTATGCTGAGCAAATAATCCGAGAAGTTGGACTATATGAAGAAGAACGGGGCATCAGGATTGGAGGAAGACTCACTAACAACCTGCATTATGCAGATGACACGACCTTGCTTGCTGAAAGTGAAGAGGACTTGAAGTACTTACTGATGAAGACCGAAGACCACAGCCTTCAGTATGGATTACACCTCAACATAAAGAAACAAAAATCCTCACTAGACCAATAAGCAACGCTATGATAAACAGAGAAAAGACTGAAGTTGTCAAGGATTTCATTTTACTCGAATCCACAATCAACACCCATGGAAGCAGCAGTCAAGAAATCTAACGAAGCATTGCATTGGGCAAATCTGCTGCAAAAGATCTTTTTAAAGTGTTGAAAAGCAAACATGTCACCTTGAAGACCCAAGCTATGGTGTCTTCAATTGCCTCATACGCATGTGAAAGCTAGATAATGAATAAAGACAACCAAAGAAGAAGTGATGCCTTTGAATTGTGGTGTTGGCGAAGAATATTGACTATACCATGGACTGATAGAAGAATGAACGAATCTGTCTTGGAAGAAGTACACCAGAATGCTCCTTAGAAGCAAGGATGGGGAGACTATGTCTCACGTACTTTGGACATGTTATCAGGAGGGTCCAATCCCTGGAGAAGGACATCATGCTTGGTAAAGTAGAGGATCAATGAAAAAGAGGAAGATGGGCAACGAGATGGACTGACACAGTGGCTGCAACAATGGGCTCAAGAATAACAAGGATTGTGAGGATGGCGCAGGACCCGGCAGTGTTTCATCCTGTTGTACACGGGGTCACTATGAGTCGGAACCAACTCGACGGCACCTAACAACAACAAAATGGGGGGAGATGAAAGCATGAGTGGCCGGCTTGCACACTTTCATGGGTGTGCTCAAACTCAAAATAAGAAGAATAAGGGAGGATCCCCACTGAAGTAGTTTCCTCTTTTCCTGATGTGTCTGGAGAAGAGACGGTGGGCGGAGATGGTGATAGGGTTATGTGATTCAGCTGTTTGAGTGGTGAGTGTTAACAGGGTTAATTCTGATTGTAAAACTAATTGTAGAAGCTGTAAGTGTGAAAAACTAGACTAAGGGGGAAGGACTGCTAGACTGGAGTACAGTGGCTGAACCTAAAGTCCCTTAAAGGTATCGCTATGCTGAGGCTCAGAGGAAGGACATAATGTTCTCTTAGTTAAATTTTATCAGACACCAGGAACAGTGAAGCCAAGATGACTTCTGGAGAACCTGACCAGATCAGATGGACGCCTGCAGCAGACCCGAATGGCTGGTACCTGAGTCACCTCACCCTGAGGACTCTGCCCTATTGAAGGACTAATTCTTAAGGACTCTTGTGGACTGGTAAAATGATTGGGAGGGGGAGTTATCCTCCAAGTATGAAAGAACCATGGCTAGAAAAGCCCGGGGGTGGCCTGGGGTACGATGGATCACTTTCATGTGGCCTTTCTCGCCATGGTCTTGCAATTCCCAACCAAGTGATTGGGTGGGACTGTGCAAATAGGGTGATTGTGTCCCACCAAGGGGATTGGTTAGTTTTGCCATCTGCTAGGCTTAAAAAGAGAACCAATTCCGGAACAGAAGGAGCGTCTCACCACCACCAAGGAAGAAGAGCCAGGAATGCAACACATCTTTTGGACTCGGGACCCCTGTGCTGAGAAGCTCCTAGAACCAGGAGACCAAGAGACAGAGAGGGAGGGAGAGAGGCAGCAAGCTGTAACACTGAAGACAGTGAGAAGCAGCGGCAGAGAAACGGCAGCAGAACCAGGAGACCGGCAGGAGACGGCGCAGTGGGCTTCCCGGCCCACGAAACACGAGAGCTAAATGCTTCCAGGCAGGAGACTTGCTGGAGGAGTAGGGTGCCTCCAGGCACTTAGTGGAGCTAAGTTTGCTGACCCACGGAGCTACAGCTGAGCGCCTTTGGGCTGAGGCTTACTGGCAGAGTGGGGTGCCTCAGGGTACTTATCAGCAGAGCCAAAAGAACTTTGTAACACTTGCCTGAGTGGGGCAGAGGCCAAGGGCCAGAGAGAGGCACGCCTGTGGGCACAGCTGAGAAGAGGTTGTCCTCATGGAAGAACTGTATCCTGAGTGTTCCTGAACCTGAGCTGTAACCTGTTACTTCCCTAATAAACCCCATAATCCTGAGTATGGTCTGTGAGTTCTGTGTGGCCATTGCAGAGAATTACCAAACCCAGCAGAGAAGTAGAGTGTGCCATGGGAGGGACGGTTGATGTCAGAATTGGTAAAGATGGTGGAGAGAGGAGGCATGTCTGACCTCTGCCTCACAGGACTCAGCCTGGGGTTGCTGATCTTGGTTCTCCTTCCTCCTCGTGAAGTTAGAGAAGGTCAGACACTGCCCCCACGCCATTTTTACACCAACACTGCAGGTTCCTCAGAATACGATGTGATCAATATTAAGCCAAGCCCGAGTGTCCTTCTAACGCTTCCCGAGGTCTAAGCGGTCATGTTTTTAACTCTGGGTGACACCGTGAGGCCTAATACAGACTCCCCAGCAGGTTTCCCGCGAATTCCTTACCACCATGGGGTCAAAGAGCTGGCCTGACTGTACTGCTCTGAGAGCAACGACAGCAAAATTTCACGGTCACACACTCCAGGCTGTGCGTTTCGCCTCGAGGGCCTCTGTCTGAACCAGTGACCCCCGCCACAGCCCAGGGCCAGACCTGCCCCCCAGGCTCACCTTGGGCGGCTTCAGGTTCTTCCCGCGTTGTCTCTTGGAGCGCAGCAGCCGTTCTCGCTCCTGGAAGGAAACACAACTGTCAGCACTTCAGCCAGCCTAGCAGCTACCAGCCCACCACAGCTCACTCTAAAGGGCCCGGACGGCTCCGTCCAGATGACAGGTGGGTGCCCAAGAATGGCTTCTTCTCAGGAATCCAGTGCTGCTTCAACCGAACCAGGGCCTGACCAGAGAAAACACCAAGACTTGCCAGTCCCACAACACTCGAGACTGTCTGCTCTGGGGCCAGGGACTTTAAATCATTGAGGGGGCAGAGAGGCTGCTCGGCTGCAGAGGTGGGAAAGCATGGCTCTGGGTCAGACAGTCAGTGACTGTTCCCAGCACCTCCTGGCCAGTGCACTCTGGTCAGACAGTCAGTGAACATCCCAAGGCCTCCTGGCCAGGGACCCCCCTCCTCTTTCTCTGACTCTTAGCTTCAACCTTTGCTCCAGAACCTGCCCTTTAGTGTTACCGTAAGGAAGAAAGAAGAGCCTGTGGGTGCCTAGTGGCTATTCCTGTAGAAATAGCACCCGCAGGAAAATTTTGCCCCAGATGAAACCAGTACATTCTCTCCTTTCTAATCACATTTACCCTTGGCTGCCAGGAAACCCAGAGCCAAATCTGGTGCACGGCTTCAGCCCTATGGTCCTCTCATTTGTTCTTCCTGGTCTGGACTAATACTGTTGTCTTGATTTTTCTTAGTCTTTATTAGGTTTATTATTCCTCTTTCTATTTTATCATCATTTTATTAATGTGTTTTCAGCCTAAGTTGCATCCAGGATTTTGTGTAATGAGGTATAGATGGATGGATGGAGGAAAAGAGGAAGACAGGGAGGGAGGGAGAGAGCGAAGGATGGATGGAAGAATGGATGAACAGACAATGGTTGGGTGGATAGATGGATGGATGGATGGAAGGATGAAGGATGGATGGATGGATGAATAATGGTTGGGTGGATAGATGGATGGATGGAAGGATGAAGGATGGATGGAAGAATGGATGACAGACAATGGTTGGGTGGATAGATTGGTGGATGGATGGAAGGATGAAGGATGGATGGATGAACAGACAATGGTTGGGTAGATGGATGGATGGATGGAAGGATGAAGGATGGATGGATGGATGAACAGAAAATTGTTGGGTGGATGGATGCATGGATGGAAGATGAAGGACGGATGGAAGAATGGATGAACAGACAACGGTTGGGTGGATAGATGGATGGATGGATGGAAGGATGAAGGATGGATGGATGAACAGGCAATGGTTGGGTGGATGGATGGATGGATGGATGGAAGGATGAAGGATGGATGGATGGATGAACAGACAATGGTTGGGTGGATGGATGCATGGATGGAAGGATGAAAGATGGA